TCAACAATCTCAAGAAATTTGATATTATCTTTCTAATTGTTGTAGTTTCTGTTTCAGGAATCCTCATGGGATCAAATTTTAAATTATTGATTTGAAATGTCGATAAAAATGTATTATTATGTTCTTCTATTCTGATTGTATGTTATATATGTATGTTCTCTTAAATTTCTGTTCCAGAAATCATCCTAGGATTTAATTAATGCTCGCTAAATTATTATAAATTATTAACTGTCCACTGATATGATATTGTCCACTGAGTTTTTCTTTCAGGGATCATCTTGGAATCAAGCTACATGTTCGTTTGAATGAATTGTCTATAATCTATAAAAATGTTTTGTTATAATTCTCCCAGTTTCTGCTTCAGAAATCATCATATGAAGATTTTTCTTCACCCGAAGATCAGTATATGAAGATCTCATCACCTGCAGATTGTCATGGAGCGTACGGGTTTAAAAAATAACTGCGTTATTGATGGGCATAGCCAGGTTATCAGTCACGGGGGGGGGGGGGGGGATAATTTTTTATTATTTAAACAAGTCTTATTTTTTTATTAATTGAGTATATATCGTGGTAGTACGTTATTCGTTTCACTAGAAAATGCACTAATTTGGAAATTATGTATACAATAATTTTATAGTAGTCACTTCAGTATACTCATTTCAATACATTAGTCAGATATCATTTATGATTATAGAATGAAACAGCTCTATATAAAGAAAGTTCAATAGTACAATAACATAACTAGAATAACATAAATAGAAGTACATAAGAAAATTCACAATGGCCTATAAATAACGGCTAGCTGATGAAAAAAATAATGTTCAAATTATTAATGTGTGAAATAAATATTAACGGTAGATTCGAATATAGAGTAGAAAGAACAGAAACCACACCGGTATGTTTATGATAGAGAGGAATACGTGGTGGTGCCTTCCTGGATAGGCATGTTATAGCAGTTAGCGCAATACCACGAGACGCGACAGAACGTTTCAATCCCGGAACCAGTGTCGCGAGACACAAAGGTATCATTCGTATTTGCAAGTTCCATGAAATAGTGGAACACGTGTACTGGGAATCGCAATAAAGTATCGGTGCATAAAAAGAAGACGTATTAAGTTATGTCACCTGTGCATCGATATGCACGCCCTAGTGAAAAACCGCGTGTTATGGAACAATTTAACACGTTGTGCATGTATGACCATTGAAAAGTGCATTGCGATTTCCAGTTATCGTGGCCGGTGTTTTCGTTGCCACTGGCAAAGAACGCATACGGTTACGTACACGGGTAGACTACCGAGACGTACTGGCGTGTACTCACGACCACTTTCATGGAGTGTGAGCGTTAAATGCAGGGAAGGTACTACTGTGTTTCACCAGCATGTATTGTGTTCCACAAACATATTTGTATGGTAGACGTATATACTCAGAAGCAATGAGTATTTGTATTCTGTCCATTAAAAAGGACAGGCCCAGAGTTGTCCATCTACTACTTATGCGCAGCATTCTTCCCCTCCGGAGATACCTTCACTATGGGACTTGGATTGACTCGCTTGAGTCAATCTAAGGTCGGTAGTCGGGGATATCTATGAGGGGAAACCTGTAATTGGTTGTAGCTCATGGGCAGCATTTGGACAACTTTGGTATTAGAATTAATTTTTATGATAGTTAGTATGTTAATAAAATTTTATTTCACCTATTAGTGTGTTAATTATTATTTTCAACAGTTATACCGTCATTTGTACATAAATATCGAAATTAATATAACGTAAATTTATTTAATATTTGAATACAGTCTATAATATACCAGTTTACTGTGAAGTAATTTAAGATTAATGTTTGTCTTCATTCAAATTTTTAATACTATATCTACAATTGTACATTAACAATTTGTACTAAATTATATCACAAATGCGTACTACCACGTTACTCGACGACAGAAATAAAAATTAAGTAGTGTATTTTGACTGATGTATGAGACATGACAGACATGTACAAGAAGGCGTTTCGCGACGGGTAGATTTTTGCGTCAAAGTGACATAAAACATAAAACAAAGATCAGTAGGTATATGAAGGTTTCTCATCAACCGAGGATTGTCATAAAGCCGAACGGGTGTAAAAAATAGCTGCGTTATTTGAACATTACTTTCCATGAGCATAATCAGGTTATCAGTCAGATTGAAACAATGTAATTTTTTTCCGTCCAGGAGTGAAGGGGGGCGAGTGTCCCTCCTGGCTACGTCCATGTTAGTTTCTGCGTTGAATTGAGTTTATGCTGTTGAGTGTGAAAAGTGTGTGGATGATATAAAATTTGTGAAAGGGGGATAGGTGTGGAACGCATGTGATTCCATCTATCCTCCTTGGGTCTCCATTCGCAGCAACCTCCACGTGGTGAGACCTGGGTAATCATTATTTGGTATATAATTGGCAACCATAATCACCTACAAGTTGTCTAATTATATAGCAAATAATGTGAGCTAATTGGCTGCGAGCTTTTGCTTGTTTTGATCAATTGATTCCTGTTGTTAGTTTCTTTACTGGCTAGCTGCAAGTGGCAAGAATCTCTTGTTGTGTGTATAATCTGTTCGCACTACCACAGACGAGGTATAACTGATCAAAAAGAACCATGTTCGAAGATCCGTATTTTGTAGAGGAAATTTCAAGGAATGTGGCTATATTTAATTTCTCTTCAAGTTTTTAAACGTCAGACCTCGATATTTAGTTCTCAAAATATAATATTTTCCAGTTTAGTGCCAGATCTTTAGAAACAACTGATTATAACCTTCATTGATTTTTTATGCTTGCACAATTTTTTTTTAATCGTGATGCATAAAATACAAATAACTTTGACATAGAAAATACATGTATGAAAAATGAAAATTAAGCAACTCTAACAGTCATTGATAACTTATGCTTCCGAGCGTAAGCCCTCTCATTTCCTTTATAGCTGTAACGAAATATAATATTAACTAAAAATTCAACAGCTAATAGTTATTCATGCATAACATTGATTCATAATCGTTAACAACTAATGTGAGGCCTTTATTTTTCATTATACATGCAGTGATTGTTGAAATACGATTAGGCACCATAGAATATCGCAGCATAAGAGAAAACTTTCACATCAGCTGGTGGCTCTCAAGATTCTCGAATTGTAGAGTGAAATGGACAACTAGATAGTATTTCTATCGAAATATATATGTCAGTTTATTAAGACAAGCCTTTTAGTGGAATTGAGAAAGTATTTGTATAGGAAATTAATTATTTTTATTTTTAAACTTTCTGTAAGAATACCTAAATAATTCACTAAACTATTTATATAGGCATTGACGACGTATAAGAATAGACCTTCCATTTTATGGGAGTTGGTGGGCACGTAAACTGTAGTACCGACACCTTAAGAAATCTGTGATTTTGGCGACCTCTACGTTATGAGAACGGTGAATCTGTGGTGGGTAGTGACACTAAAATGGAAATGGGGCGGCATTGCCCCAAAAAAGTTGTGCGAAAAAGTACATTGAATGAAATGTCTACTCGTATATTTCGTCTAGGTTAGGTGATATAGGTAAATATTCCTTTGAGTTTACCCTCTATGTTAGGCGTATTTATTCATTGACCGCTTTCGAGGAGATATCGTTTCGTTAGTTAATTGCTACTCTTGGAAGTTCTTGGAAGGTTATAGGCTTACGCAGAGAAGAAACATGTACGCAATTCAGAACATAACCAGAAGAGCTCCACAATTAGCGAAGCTCGTTGAAAATCAAAGCAGGACTATCGTTTCTACACCTCCAAGGGTGAAAGTACCTTTCTATGTGCGTATTATTTTCATTAAATATTATTACGTAATAAAGTTATGGTACATGTGAACTAAACTGTATGACCTACGCTACTGCTTAAAGCTTTTAGATCATTTGGAACATTCGCGGTTTGTAACAAAAACCGATGAAGCTTCGTTATTTGTATCCTCAATAATTCTACGTTTTTATAGTTGTAAAAGTTGTATAGGTTGAAATATTTATTCATATTTCCATCATCAAAATATTCAAGTTCACTTGTCCTCAAGTAATTAATCCTAAAGATTTGTGTAATAGTATGTAAAGTTAAATTAAAGAATATGTATATATATATACATAGTTTATGTTCGGTTTGAATTCTTTCATTGTTAGTGATAATTATTACAGTTGGTCTTTTTATTACAGGAAATGATGGTACTTGGGGCTGCTTTGTATGTGGGAATCTTCTCAGTACCTATGTATATTGCTTGTAACATAAGAAAGTACAACGGAACACTAAATAAGTGAAACCTCAGAACTTACTTTTAGTGATACATGTATGTAATTCAAAAGTAAACAAAGCATCAGAATGTGAATTCTGAATTTTGAATGCACATAATTACATTAAATTAATATGAATTGAAGCATAGTGATTTTTTAAATGTTATTTCCATCCATATTAATTTTGTTATTTGCCTTAGTGTTGTTTGAGAAAATACTTTGTTTTAGAGCAGGGCAATGTTTGGTAAATTAAACTGCATTTTTATTGAATGCGCATTGTGTAAGTTTATTACACAAATGACTGCAGTCTTATGTTTAAAAGTGTACAAAAATATAGTACCATAAAACATAGAAATGGTTATTATAAAAATAGATACAGTTAGACTGTAGTAATACAATGCAGAAATTTACATTTCAATAAAGTAAAGCTCCATTACTCTATTATCTTCACCGAGAGAAATTCAGTACAGAGACCAAAACATATGTTTGTTTTAAAATAATTATGCTACTGATCATTTTTATACTACAACTGTCAGTGAAACAGTAATAAATCCGGAATATTAGATACAAAATTTCGTTTTACATATCCTACATAATTAAAGGAAATATTGAATTTCTGTACACAAACATTTGCACATTGTGCAGATTTCAATTTTTTTATTTGCACCGTTAGAGCTGCTATACTTGCAAGATTATAGTATTCTTGACAAACAAATTTCGGGCGCGACAAACTTCTTGGTGCACTGGAGAATGTTAAAACAAGTACACAACTGGGACGGATTGTATTTTACGAAAAAGGGTTCGTCGTATTGGTTGTGTCGACATTCTAGTTCAGATGATCTAGTTGTCGATCGGTCAGTCATCGAGGATCTGTCTTCTGTTGTGACGGCCGTGTCTACGTTTTTTGAAGCATGTAGCGCAACATTTCTCTTGGACGATCGATGATACGTCGCACATGCGTTTGTACGTTGCGCACACAGAAGCAGGGGCAATGCTGTCTTTGCATTCTGGAACGAATACGTATTATTGTTAATGTCAAAGAATTATTCTTTCAAACACCAATTTAGTTTTCAAGTAACTTGTCCGGTTTTTCGATTAATTCAGACAATGCATTTTAATGTAATGGTCAAACGCGGTCTGGAAAGGATGATGTCGTGGCTTTAGCGGAAGGGATTATTGTAAAAATTTCATTTTAACACGTTGACTGTCGCAATAATCACAAATATTTGGTTCCTTTTATGCCGAACTGTTGAAACACACAGTGTTTGAGAATCAGTTGTTGATATCCGCGGCTTTTATGGTGGATTCTCGGTGCATCGTGTTGTGCTTCCCACGGCAGACAACGTGTTAAAGAAGATATTACATAGATGGCCGCATGCAGATATCGTGATTAGTAGTCGACAAAGACTAGTATTGTGAAAGTAGACGTTAAATAGACGAAGTAAAAATCATGGCTGATGGTTCATGCGTCTAAATTTCCATTTCTCCCAAATCGATGATCCTCGGTGGTGTATGCAATTACCGGACTTATCGTTTGCGCATTGCCGCCTATGATAACAACGCCTCGTATCGATTGGCCTTCTCTCGGGGTTGCAATCGTCGGACAGTAATTCCGTTATACGGTCACGACATTCGACTTCCCTGCGTTTTATGCCGACCCTTGCCACACAAGTCGCGTTGCAAGGACCCCATCTTCCTGTAAGCATACCCATAAAGATTGATGTTTTACATGCCTGATCTTTGTTCCGACCTTCCTTTGGACAAAGGCGAGACTAAAGAATAGAAATAGTTAATGGCGCGACTAAATTAAAACGGTGCAGATTCAGACCTTTCTGGGTTTAAAATATAACTGAACAACTAATCTTTCCTCGACAGCGTACACATTTAGAGACTAAAGGTAACGGGTTGGCATGGTTCGAATAGCAAGTGTTCTTTAAGGATAATTTCGGCAACAGGTCTTTCGTTGAAAGTTCATCTAATCGACCGGTCAGAAAAGTTTCGATCAGCTACTTAACTAGGAACACTCATTGAACGTGAAAGTAACGGTAATTGTAGCTTACCTGTAATCCACCTTCCGCCCTGGCACAGTTCAACAGTAGTCGGCTTGTTCTCCGGATTACAGTCTCCCTGCACAGAACATGTCACCTTCCTATTTCTTTTTCCGTTCGAGCAGTGATTCCACTTCGAAACGATCCACTTCGACTTGGTATTGTACATGGAATTGTCCGGGTTGTCGTCCACAACGTTGTCGAACTCGAGGATCTCCGGTTCTTCCGTGGTCAAACCGTCGACGATCGTGATGCTATCCTGATCGTTCGAGCTTACATTGTAGAAAGACGCATCCTTATTATCCGCGTATACTATCAAAGGCGCCTCGGTGGTCGAACCGCAAGGGGGTAAGTTGGGACACGGACTAACTTCTTCGGGTCTCACGTCCCTATTACAATCACGATCGGGCAAAGCTAGGTCCGAACGATCCGGCCCCATTCCCGAGGAGACGCACATCACCGATCGCTTTCGAAGTGCACCTTCGCCACACGTTACCGGACACATCTGCCACGGGCCAATCCACCATCTGATTTCATAACATGATAATTCAAGATTTTGCGTTCGCGTATACATCTCCGATCCAAATTACTTCTTTTCGTCAGGCTGTGATTTGTATGTTACCTGGCTGGACATGGGTTCAGATTACACTCCCGCAGCAATGATTCCGGTTTCTCGATGTCTTCGCAAAAGTGGTCCTCGACAACGCCGCTCTTCTTCTCGTTGCAGAGGGCCTTCGAGATTTGTGTGCCACCGCCGCAAGTAACAGTACAGAGCGACCAGTCCGAAAATACCCAAAAGTACTCGGGTGCCCGGTCAGGTTCTTTCTTCGGCACTGTGTACTCGTACCGCAGCCCGAAATTCCGGTAGTGTCCTCTGGAAATTAACTAAAGTGATGGGACAACGTTATTGAGAATGAGAAGAAAGTAGTTAGAGCATTGTAGACGATCTATGTATCGGACAATCGACAGAAAAACGTGGATAAATAGACAACGAGCTGTATTTGAGTAGCGGAGAAAATGGATATGAATTTTGTAACTAACAATATCGGTACGCCGATTTTCGAATCGGTATCTCAAGTTGTATCATCAACCTCACAGACAGGTACTGCAGAACGATTAATGGAGTTAACATTGACGATAAATACGTACGTAGACTGCGATGTCCTCTTTAATAGGCCCGGGAATTCGTATCTTCTCCCTGTCACGATCTCTTTCGTACAAAGCTGGAGTTCCGGCTACCTCATACTCTCCGGCTAAAGTGATCTGCCTGTCCAGTTGGAATAGAGATTTTGGAATTTCCAGTCTTGTCTTATCTGTGTCTTCGTTTCATTTTTATTCTTACGCGTACTCACCGTTTACCATTGAGGAAATACTTGTCAGAGTTAGGCACGCCTATGCCAATGTAATTCTTGCTGTTACCAATTTCTTCTATTTTTATGTTTCGCGATCCTGACGGAACAACGACCACTTCTTTGTATCCTGGCCCGTCGTTTTTGTCGTAAACTCCTCCTGTGGTTTCGCATTGCGTCCCGTCCCCGTGGCAAATCCCGCAACGATCTTCCGTGGCGTCGGAGTCGACCGTCCAATCGCAACCAACTTTCTGCATTTCAAAGACTATTGTTGTCAATGTGATTCGACAATTGTTTAAATGTTTTGCTATCAGGAGAAGTAAACTGACTCTACAGATTCCAGCGATGCACATGTCCCTCGTACCGACGTTGCAGGGTGTACCATCCAGAGCTGCTTCACCCCATGGAACGATCACGCTTTCCTCTGTATCGGTGCAATACAATTCGCAAGGTTCCGCTTCAATTAATTACGATATCGATTATTATACTACAGATTCGATTGCACTTAAATCGTAGCTACAAATTTATTAGATGGCGTATGTACGTGTGTGCGTGTGTAGTGACACATTTTTCCCCTATAAAACTAAATAATCCATATACTTTTAATGATGTTGAAAACAATTTTTAAAAGCTTGGCTTACTTTGATCAAAGTACGGTAGCCAGGTGTAATTTTTCCCCTTGTACTCCTTGCCGTCGTAATTACTGCACTGCACGGCTCTGAAGCTGTACGTGCCTTCCGGGCAGGACTGCGTGTTGCAAATTTTGTATCGACGCCTCTCGCCGATGCAGAACTTCCCACCGTGCGCCGGCTCCGGATGATCGCATTTTCGCTCGACGATCGTGACCCCGGCACCACAAGATCTCGAGCACTCGCTCCAAGAGCCCCATTCACCCCATCCGCCGTCGATCTGACGTGGCCTGTCCACGATCGGTACACACTCTTGGTTCTGACACCACTGCGACAGGATTAACGCTCTTATTCAACCTGGCATCGATTAGTCATCGTTGCACTCACTTACTTTTTATCTTTGACAAGAAATATAGCAATTGTTACTTTCTAAATTTTATACTCTACATCTACGATAGACTTGAAGTTATTACATAGAATATATCGTTTATTCCGATCGTATAACTTGTTTCCTGCAAATTATTAATACTTATTATATGTAGATCATAGGGCGAAAACTGTTTGAGTGGAAGTGGCATGTTTAAATCGAAATCGTGTTGAGTAACTTTTCAACAGATGTTTTTCAACTCAATATCATTTGAAAATTATTACTGTCTTCACACCATGTGTTTCCCGCAATGGGTTCCTGGGGCAGCTGGATGAAGCATGGTGGTGCAAGTACCGTCCACGATGCACCACAATTTCGAGCAGATCTATAAAGAATATTGCCAAGCTCTGTTCATCAGCATGGAATTGTCTTGCAATCAGTTTTCTTTTGTTCCTCACCTCTTGTAATGGAGAACAGACAGAAGCTTCCCGGACGCCAAACTGTAGCCTGCACTGATGCTCCGCATTGTACATCGCGCCAGGTGGCAAATCCGGATACGCGTAATCGTTATCTGCCGGTTCGTCCTCCAAACATTCGCCTTTCCCTTGGCTACGACAATGGAAACCCTTTTGATCGAGTTGTATTACAACAGTTGTTGGCTAGTGCCCCGCGCGTTTCCTGGTTCAGTAGACTACACACGTTTATTCAAACAAAACTTTACTGTAAATGAGGAAACTGTTACCAAGCATTGAACGTTTCCCACTCCTGGAACCGTATTATAACATAACATTCAACGGTTCTAGTTCTACGTCTACGTCTAACCATTCGAAGTGGAATATTTTCACGGATTTTAGGTACCTACGTATATATAATATACAATAATATGTATAATCGAGCCGTTGTAGCTCGTATGCGACTTACTCCAAAAAATTCGTGATGTCCCTTTTGGAGCATCTCGACCAAGCCACTCCGATGGTGTCCACCTCGAATGTCGGCGTCATCACGTGTAGCGTGTCACCGTCTCGTTTGCTGCAACCGATTTTTTCCGTGTCGTGGTACATCCCGAAACTGGAATTTAAATCGAAAACGGCGGTGAATCATTTTGTCAAGTGGAATGGGCGATTGCAGCGAAGCGCTGTTACGCACGTGCTGGTCGCCGATACGGTTGCAGCCAAATACGCGGCAAATGCGATAACGAGACCGCATTATCGGCTAATAAAAACAAATCGGTTAATGGCGGGAACAGCCGAGCGAATTCTCGATTCGTTGCCCGGACCGGCCACAGCAGTCGTGGAATCAATTTTTTTCGCCACTCTGGTTTCAACGTTTTATTCTTATTCGGAATGTTAACGAGGGACAGAGTGGATAAATTCATTCGCCTAAACTGATCCCGACTATAATTAACGTACCAATTAAAAGAATTACGATAAAGAAATATTGGAAACGTTATTGCGTTTCAATTCACATTTGATTTTTCAAACATAAAGAAGCATTATATCGTAGTTTCGCAACTGGCAAAATGCTACCTGGCATTCCGATGTGTTTGCGGGCGTTACAATTGATATCGCGTTAGCAACGATGATTTTGCTCACTTGTGTCCCAATTCGTGCGTGATCGTGTGCGCCAGGGTGATTCCATTGTCCTCGTTGACGCTGCAACTGCGGTCCGGTTGGCACATACCGGCTACGTGGGCTACTCCCAAAGTGCTGCACGGAGTGTTCGCCCTCGAGCAGATGTCCTCCCTTGTCACTAAAATCGCAACGTCGTGGTGATTCGGATGCGAATCGTCCGCCGGATTCAGCTTCTGTTGCCACTTGCAGAAATTGTACAGCGTCCTGTCCGCGTTCACCGTGATGTCCAGCCCTTGCTGAAAGAAACGTTAGCGTGGCCATTCCGCGTTTCGTCAAGAGTAGCCTGTCGACCGATATTTTTAAGTAGTTTACTTCTAATTCTCTAAACGGGCATTATCTCACGATTCACCGTACGATATATAATTTGAGAAATCTTCGATAAGGTTACGTTCTTCCATTTACGAGCGCGGGAAGAGATTGAACGCCGATGACATTTTGGACCACATTTCATCAAAGAATTGATCCTTTAAAGTTTGATGAATTAACTGACAGAGCGGTATGACTGAGAGAGACGTTAAGCTTTCCAAATTGAAATGGGATGAAGTTTCTGAAGTTACGTTTGACGTGGCCGAGTAACTTCATTCGTAAGGAAATGAAGTTTCAAGTGAATTTCGTAAAATCCGATATTCCCTACGAAGAAAAATTGTTCCCTTGGGATCGAGGCACGGAAACTCGGTCCTCTAATTTTATAGAAAATTTCGCGTGTACTCGGATCTGGATAGGGCGATGCAAATCATTGGAATTTCGCACGTACTTCCGCCTCGTCCTCCTCGACGAGAATAATTCTGACGACGACGACGTTGATGAAATTCCCGATTGTGGGGTCCAGGTAGAGCGACGACACCATGTTCATGATGGTCAGTAGATACGTCTCGACGTCGCCGTCCTGATGAAAAGCCATCATCGTCGTGTCAGCGACAACGAGGGCCTCGACGTGACGCGGTCGACTGATCGATCTCTTGGAACGCTGCCATCGTTTCGTCTGATGATGTTTCCTTCGGCCTCGCCCTTGAACCTGAACGAGACCCGGTTGCGTCTGCCACTCCAGTCGCGTTTCCGTCAATCGTCTAGGCTCTGCGCAACGTAGTCAACACGATTATATACATTTGGTACCAAATCAAGTAGCTCTCTGAGGACCACTGATTGTCAGAGAGAAGTGAAGCTATGCCGATGTTTTAAAACTCATACATATGTATGAAACCGTGCAGAACTTTGTCTTTCAAACTGTACTCGCAGATCTTAGCATTTTACAGATTTGATCCTCGCGAAATTGGTTTAACCAACGACGGCAGAGATGATGGCTTTCGATGACAAATCGATATATCGACCCTTGTTATACAGTTAGGCAATGGAAATTCCGATCTGGGATAGGAGCGTAACACGTGTCATAACCGGGCTCAATTTTCGAAAGGAATTCCATCTTCGGTGAGATAGATGCAGTCGGTAGCTGATAGATGAGCAATCGGTAGGTACTGGAGTGTATATAATCGAGCGTTTGTCGGATTTCGGGTGTCGGATGTGGCGAACGCGATACGCCGTGATCTATGATCCCGTGAAGGTGTCGGCTTACGGAAAAGGTAATTCACCGCGTTCTCAAAACGGTAAAGCAGAGTTACGTAACGCGTGTTGCGAAAATTCGATCGAACGATAGTCACCGGTGGTCGTAAGCTCCCGTGAGTTCTTTGATCCGGAAGCAATGGTCGCGAGAAGTGGTGCGGAATTTAATTATATTAAACAAGTGTTCGGAAAAATCGCTCGTTGCATTTCGTAGATTGAAGTATGGTTCGTTCAAGGAACAAAACGATCGTTGAATTTTCACGGAGAGGACATCAATCTTCCTCGGTAATTCGGTAATTCGGAGTACGAGATTACCAGCGGCTAGCGGGGCTATCCACGGATGAAGGGTTGTGCTCGTACGCCGCGGTCGTGCGCGCTCGCTATCTCGAAAAAGACGTATACTTGGTAGACACGTAAGACGTGGTTCCCCGGGTCCCTTAATTTATGCAGATTGCTTGATCGTAGGCGTGTAATTAAGATTTCATTCGAGCCTATCCCGATAGATCGGCCGGGTTGCCGAAACGGATATTCATTGTAGCTAATTACGGGTTTGCAGCGAATTGGATTACCCCCGCGTTGGTCCGAGCCACGATACGTTCGACACCGGCTCGTATCGACCGAGTCGATCTTACTTCTATATCGGTCTTCTCGCAACTATTTAATCCGTTGAACCGCGGGGGTCGTCACTCGGTTAATAGGTTGAACTCGGAAATCGTGCCAAAGACCGTGCGCGTGGGTCAGCAGTTTCGAAATTTGTGATTAAATTATCCGAATTAATCGCGTCCGGTCGGACACCTTCGGGCAACTGGATTTCTGGCAGTCATCCGATTCCGGTCTACGCGTATTTACGCTAGTCTCCATGGCCGTAGCATGCGACTTGTACGTAGGTGTATACATACATATACGAACCGAGCAGCCAATAAATATTAAGAAACCGTAGCGTTTGATGTTAAGGAAAGGGAGGATCGTGTACAAATCAACGGACAGAAGAGATGTCTCAATTGACTTATACGATCGAAAAGATGAATTGTCCGATGAGTCGCGCAACAAGTCACCTCGTTTCCGTTTGGACTCAATATATCGTTGCGGTCAATTCCAAGATAATTAGTGCCAGAACAAGGACGGATCGTTGGCGAGATTTTCACGAAGGCGGCGGTGGCGACGACCCCCCCCCCCCCCGGACAAGCTCATAAATATTGAATTTCGATTTTTATCGGGTAGGCCTGGTCAAAGATGTCCGCGCCGGTAAAAGGACGAGCCGAAGTTGTCGCCGGAATGCCCACGCTCGGTATCGCGACGCGTCCAATTACATTATATGCGTAGACGGCATAAATACTTGTAATACGCGCTGCTGGAGGAGGAACTTAAGACTCCGGGAGTCGGAGCGGGAACGGTTCGCGAAGGTGGAGAAGAAAAAGAAGGTGTCGGTTCGTTCTCACCGTGGGTGCCGCTCGCCCTCCCTTCCTTCGCTATTAATTACAACTAGCGATGGGATCGAGCCACCGGTGGCGGTAATGCACCACGATTAGTTAACTAGCGCTTAACTAACAGTAAAATATAATTCGGGTCGACGTTTTAAGAGGTTCTATACAAAGATTTCTTCATTTATAAATGACTCGTAAGACCTTCCCCTCACGCAATTCTTTCAACCGATTTTTTTTTATCTTATCGAGAAGCATCGGAATTCTCCCCGTTGTCGCTAACTTCATCGAATATCATTGCGACTTTATTGCTATGGACTCAGAGACAACTGACTTTTTGTTATTCGAATACACGTACCGTTGTGGCTAGCGTTGATGTAATTAACGGAAGTGTCTCGAACAGTAACGTTCGAAGAACATAAATGAGAGATAATAAGGCGTGGCTTCGGTATTTATTAAAATTGATTTATGATCGCAAGGCTATTGGCCTGGTAGTCTCTACGGAGGGAGAAATACCGTACATAAGCTAATTTGTCGATATTGCGGCTTTTCTGTAGTCTCGGATGAAAAGATTTCTATAGGGAAACAGTTCGCTGCCAATTAATCGTCGTGAAAGTGGATCTATGCGAGTGTATGACTCCCACCACAGTCATCGGACAAAATTCACAAGTTTGTTGAGTATTTATTGAAATTTTTCGGTAAGAAACTTTGTCCTTGAATGAGAACCGCGTTTGAACGCCGTCGAAGAAAAAAGATGACTTCATCTTGTTTGTACGATGTATAATAAACTATATCCCAATCGAGCTCGTTGGGACAAAATCGCGGAAACCCGTATCTGAACCAGTTGCCGGGATTATTAACGAAGACGACAACAGGTTTACCATAATCCTTGAAACATTACACACATTTGCCATTACTATATCTTACGCCAACATTATTAAGCTATACAATTAGAACGGGGAAATCCATTTAGATCCATAAATAATTGCATCGATACCAGGATCGGTGTTTATACGCGTGTGTGTGGAATCGGGAACGTAAGAATACAGGAGTCAAAAAGTGATATCGTTTAATTAGGGTCTACTATATACGACCCCGCCGTGGATTAAAGCTGTCTTTAATTACACGGTTCAGCACAGAGAAATTTCATAGATAAGAAGATAAGGTTCGGCGTCGACACGCTCACGCTTTGTAGCTCGTGTATCCAATTATTCTGTGGCCTCAGATGCATAAATATATATAACAGGAGAAATCTGGTGAAAAAGGGAGCGAATAGAAAGGGAACGGGTTAAACGCATCGCTAAAAGGGTTGGCCAACATCTGAAGTAAGTACCGATCGTACGAAGTGAAATTTTTGGACCCACGGAGGTGTCACTGGATAATTTGAACAATATGTTTACAGCGTTCAAGGAGTTGTCGATTATTTGTCAACACTAATACGTTCCTAAACGCAACATAAATTTCTCTGTTGACCAGAATTTCTCCGCTGCACCTCCCGCGATCAAAACTCTCTGCAGTCAGACAAACGGTCGCGGCTAGAGAGTTGGCCTTCGTTGTGTCCTCGACGTGTCTCGAGCGGAAAAAATTCCACTGAAAGGAACAAAAAATAAGGATCGGAAGGTGTGAAATTAAAAGAAGATGAAATGATATTGGGAGGGTTCGAAATGGAAGTGGAAGTGGAAGAGGAAAGGCAGCAGGCGGTGCCTGGGCGGCGTGGCGAAGAATAGAAGGAAGAGAACGGTGCAGGTGAGGTGGATTCTCACCGCGAGTCCCGCAGTTTCTCTCGAGTTTTCTTTTCTTTTTTCGTCGGCGTCTGGTGCGGCCAACACCGCCGATTTCGAGCTGCGACTTCTCTACGGATCTACGGAACACGAGATGTGGCCTACCGACCAACGAGTGGAGTTTCCGGCGGAGGCCGGCCGAATCGTGGTCCTCGGCGCCGGCGTCGGCGTCGGCGTCTTCCAGCCTTTCCTCCGGGCTGACTCGTTCTTCTTCCGGGGACACGGCGACTGGTTCCAACCAGAACTCCCCGTACACGCCGCGCAGCATGCCCGCCTGAAACACGAAACCCGCTATCCTGTTACTCCGACTCTCTTTGTTCTGCCTTTGCCTCGCGACTACCACCTCATCCCAGGAGTAACGCGAATTTTCTTTTCTACACATTCAAGATCAGATAGATTTTACTTGCGATTCTTCGATCGTCCATGTACTCTCAACAAATTTCTATAATATCTTCTTGGTTGGTCGGTCTACTACATAGTGTTTCGATTCGTTATTTTAATTGGATATGGAAAATGTACCTACTCTTTATTCGAACCTCTGAGCAACATAACGATTCAGATAACTCAAACATTCATACTTCTCTAAACGATAAACTCGATAACCCACCATTCGACACCGTTTTATATTTTGATTTGCCGATTAAAGTAATCTTATCATTATGGAATTACTCTGCCCGGACTCTTCTCTGTCGACTTATTAGAGAAGGGAGTTTTAAAACGTTTCGAGATGAATTCAATCTGTCCAGTTCAGTTCGATCATTACCCTAGAATCGGACACTGGTTGTTTTGAGCTGCGCAGTGGTAGGTCCGCAACACCTTCGAAACAAGAAACGGTACAATGTAAATCGGTCTCGATTCTCGTACAGATTACCGCGTTTATAGGTATGTCGCGTCATTAATCATTGCCGATCATCGATAGCATTCACCATTCCCTGTCAAGTAGCAATTGATTGGCGGAACACCCATCGTCCGATTTCGATGTATGTAATTCTCATTTCACGTTTGCTTTTTTCTCTCCTCTCGCTATCTCCCTTTTTTATCCGTCTCCCTTTTATCGAGCCGACACCAACGACCGTCACTTTGACAAGCGTATTATCTCATTGCCATTTGGATTTTTGAACATCGCAATTAATTTTTAAAGTCCAATTGCGTAGACACGTCATTTTTCTTTACGGTTGATTAGCCGGGTGGTAAGAGCGCATCGTATCGATCAATGACATTCCTCTTTCGGTTCTGAAGCAATAAAGGAACATAGTTTCTGTCAGATAATTGCTGGAAGAATTTTGTAATTCACAGGGGTGGCGTTTTGCGGGAACTTAAATATGGTGATTTCGTAAAAAGATAAATTGTTTGGAAGCTTATACTAATACTTCGTTGTAGTCGAGGAATGAGAGAACCCAGAGATGATATTATCTCCGCGGAAGAGATGAAGAAATTTTCCGTAGTTGGCAGGCTGCTTCGCGTGGATACCAGTTTCAGCGGGAATATAATTTATCCAGTCGCCGATACCGAGAATCCCAGAAACGAATCTTGGATTCCGTGGGAGCTCGATGAAATCCCGTGAATACCGTGTAAAAATAGTCGGGAATAATCGGTTCGAAGAGGAGGCGCGGAGAGGCGCTGGAGAAATAGAGAAGCAAAGACGCGGGCGGCAAGGTAGCGGAGTGGTGTGGCGGCGGCACGGTGGCGACGAGAGAAAGGGCCTGAAATACAAGTTGAGCGAGACTGGTGTTCGCCGTTTCGACTATTCCCCGACGCCGACCGTGAAAAATCACGGCGCCAGCCTCACAAAGGTAAGCTCGAAGAAGAGGGGGCGCCGCCGTCGAAGGACCTCAAAGTGAAAAAGGTCCGAGCGTGATTCAGCGCCGCATGGGGCCTCACGGCTCCGATTTCTCTCCTTCCTCTTCTCTTCATCTTCATCTTGTTCTCCCTGTTTCGCGGCCGTCTTTTCTTTTTTGCGCCGTTTCTTTTCATCTTACGCGCGCAGAAACTCCGATCGACTATATAAGGAGTGATTTGTTGCCGCGGTTGCGGCTTCAACCATGCCGCGAACATTGTCGTCGACTCGGTTAACGATCCACGCGATTTTTCTCCGGTCTTCTCGACCGGCGATCTTTATTCCCGAAGACGTTCTTCGGTTTATATTCTCGACGAAACGACACTGCGCGTTCTTGATCCCCTAAACCTAAACTGTTGTATTAATTAATCCTGCACCAATATCTTCGTTGGAAAATGATTTTCGATATTTCAGTCTCCATTAATCGGTACATATTTCGTATAATCATGAAATCATCGTATTTTCCGATTCGTGGTAGCTTCATACATCACAGTAACAGAGCTTCTAGCGGATAGAATTCACAGGGTAGATTGCATGTTGTGTATGTTTGCTGTCCTGTTTAGAAGTTCATTAAGCGCTTAATTTATTGTAAACTCAATATTTTTGAGTTTCCTGTCTCTTTCGTAACTGGTCGGATCTACATAAGTTGCTTGCCGCATAAATTCACTGGTCTCTCGGCAAATTGCAAGCGAAACCGGTTAACAGCTAAAAGTATTATATTTACTGTAACTTTATCCCTTTAAGATTTGCCACTTTTTTTGCGAGTGCCTCTTCGAATTAATCCCGATTTATCTCGACGTACGACACTCCGTGTTTCCGTCTTGTCTGGAAAACCCATTGGTTCGACCCCTGTGTAGATCTTATTTTACTTGGGCGACGTTAACGACTTTCATTGTTGCGCTTGAAACTGAAGACCGGAGTGTTAAATTCGAGATGGTATCGCTGGCTTTCGTTGCTATCCGACAAACAGTACCTAAATAGGTTTGCCGCGTACGTTTGCCGTACAACTCGACGACTGCGTATCCGGAACAATATCTTTCGATCGAAACAACAGTTCGAACGAGAGGTCGAAGATGATCGGAATTCATCGTAGATCATTCCGGAGAGGCGGTAAATAACCATCAGTCCAGAGATAGGAACGTAACCCGCGCGAATTAAGTAATTTCGTTCTGGCGTGGTGTTACTCGAACCGGTGAATGGAAATGGATGAGGACATTATCGATCCTGCGATCTACCGGTCGTTCGTTATTTGGTGTCCGGTGCATGTTTGCGCCGGTGGATCCGCCGCCGGGATTTGAATGCATCCAATCACAAGTAAATATATTTCTATGATGGTCTAGCCGTCGCGTCGGTCGGCGCGGCTCGGCGGTCCATTTAGACGTCTTTGTTCGTTTAATTGGCCCCGGGTGCGTTCTGTGGTCCGATTCCTGGACGAATAGGTACGGACACGGCCGCGTCTTGCCTGCCGTTCATTCCTAGGATCCGATTAATTCCGAGCGTCGGGCGATAATTTATGGCCGGCTATGTGTTACGCTCTGCACCTTCCTCTCTGCTCGTTTCGCGGCAAAACCTCTTCGTATCTGTCACACCTTCCTCTAATTGCTCGGAACACGCGAGAGCCGAGAATCGAGACTGGGGAGATATCCTGTTTGTTCTTTACGCGAATCCGTTTCCAAGAATCTCCGTGATCCTGGAAAACTTGATCGCTGACTCGGTAACGTTCTACCGTACCTACGTAAGAACTGAACTTCCAACAGGAAAACACTCGAGGCATTCTAACAATAAGTATGTAGTGCCTCTTGATAATTTATGGCAGAAGTTTCGAGAATTAAACGCGACGATAGCTAACTAAAATTCTAGATCTCTGACCGAAAGAAATATTCTTCTGTCCTTCTAATCCGGTACCATTGATCCGGCTAAGCATTTCCATGTAAACCACTCCGTTAATTAACGCGAGACTAGCGCAGAAAGAAGCCCAGGGAAAACGTTATCGACGCAGTCGGCAAACGCCAGACGGCGGGTGGCAGGCGGAATCGAGGGGGTCTGGAGACAGCACGGTAGGTGGGATTAGCATAATGCGCGCGGAACCGGCGATCGGACGTGGAACAGCTCGATTGTGGTTAGTTAATGGTGGCCGAGCAGTCATTATTCTCGTCCGGCAATACGTTGCGATCGTTAAGGCAACCTTACCGCGCGCAACCTAGCAGCCCGATCGCATATATAAATTATTATTGTGCGGCCAACGAGGTGTATCGATGGGCGGTCGCAATAGTGTCGCACGTCGACGCCCATGTTTAGCTGTTCAACGCCGTGCCTTTGCCTTTTCACAGCGCGTATTTACGCGCTCGACGTAAATCGCTGCCGCCTTTGTCGAAACTGACCTCTGTTCACCACCTGTGTGATCTCAGATAAGGAGAAAAAGCATGTAGATAACCAACAACGATTAACGCCTTGCGCTTTCGCCCGTGTCTACTGTTATGTAGTCGTTGGAACTCTTGGGCCATTTTATTATATAAACGGCGCGAACGTTCTGTTTTAAGATGGTTTAGTCGTCTCATATATTCTTTCAGCTCTCAATCTTTTAAATGTTCTTTTCGCATTCTTCGATTTAAACAATGCTGGCGGAGTTCCGGTAAAATTCAGCTAGACTATGTAGTGATCCTTCGTACGATTTGCGTTTTAGAATGCAGCAAGACCCTGTCAGTCAAATCACTCGGTATATATTATTTCGTAAGTTTTTCATAAAAGGTTAAAAAAGGTTCTCGCATTATCAATGTGTTAACGTACATTCATCTGTGTCAATTAGAATTCTTCTATTCGAACGAAGCTTGTAAAGAAGTTGTTACTGGTATGCGATAGAAATCAAGCGTATAACAAATATTCGCGATTTATGATCTATGAACTGATCGATGATCGCGGCTAATTCATAGAAACGTTCCTCCGTTAACTTTCATCGAGCAGGTATGCTGTGCCGATTTGTCACTGGTATGAACGGTTACTAACGAATGTCAAAGCTAATTGAATTTGATTGGCCGACGGTCTGTAACGGATCGCGTTACGTCGCGACAACAATAGCCGCGATTTGTCACCTTTGCAATTCTTCGTTTCGTTCCTTTGTTTTGTATCGATTTTCATAATTGCACGAGGTCACGGTATACACCTCTCATCGATAGGTAGACTACACCGACGCGACAATTGCATCTGTGTCGTGTAAACGCTCGATAAACGTTCCATAAAAACTTCTTTGTATTTATTGTATGCGAATCACGCCGCAAAACTAGCGACATAAAAAGATAATCTTGAAGTCGCTACATTTGACGTAAACGTATAATAGAAGAAAGTCAAATATTTGTCTTTAGATTTACATTCGTCGCAAATATACAATTCCTACATGTATCGATGATGTTCGAAAGTAATGATACACGCTTGAAAATTGA